AACCAGAAGAAACAGCACCCCTCTGGCTTGAGACCTCTGAACATTGCAGCTCGACCCTTGCACGACCGATGCGCACTCACTGCCTCGCAACCTCACACTAGATACACCTTTCAGCACAGATCCGCGCACAGCAGACGAAAACCCTTGCACGACCGATGCGCACTCACTGCCTAGCAACCTCACTCTAGATACACCTCGCAAACCCCAACAGACAACCCACAACCCTGAAACCTCTTCACACAGTCTCAGGGCCACACTGAAGCAACGAAGCACCGAAGCGAACGCAAGCAACATGCTCAAGCACAACAACAGCCACCATGCTTCATCTTGGCACTCTTCAAGAGCACCCTCTTCAAGCACAGCAGCATTCATCATCGACCCAAAACGGGCCTCAGAGGCCGCATCGTCCACTGACACAACCTCGGCACCTTGAGCAGCACGCGAAACACTCTCAGGAAAACAAGTCACCACAGCAGAGGTCCTCAAGCTCCTCAGCAAAAACTTGAAAGGAGTATACTCAAGACTCTTCACAGACTCCAGGGACCGTTGCTCTTGGGACTTTTGGGCTTTTGTTGCTTTGTCGGGTTTGGGATTTCCAGGCTTATTGTTCAAAGCTTTGGCTTTCGGGGCAGTTTCGGGCTTCCGTGTCTCAGCGGGAGGCTTCAAAGCATCAACCTCCATCTTCTCCCCGTCTTCCTTCAAAGACGCAACCGCATACCAAGCGCGGTCCTTCACCAACAGACGAATACGCTTCTTACTCTTCTTGTTGTAGATATGCGGGCTATTGGTTAGCATGGTGTGCCATCCTCTCTGCCACGCCACAAACGGTGACAGAACATTGAAATCTAAGTTCGTAATCAGACAATGCTCTAGCACCACCAATTGCTTACCAAAACGAACGCGAACGTCGCAAACTTTCAAGACTTCAATAGAATCATTGGAGGCATTCGACAGAGTGGGCTTGAAATCGTAGGTGCGAAGGACTTCGTACTTATCAAAACACGAAGCAGCCATACAGTGCGAAGTGGCACCACTGTCCACTAACCAAAGATCATCCCTTGGCTCGCCTACTAGCCTCACGCGGTGTGCCTCAGCAGACACCTCAGGTGTTGACGTCGAGGGGCTGGTTCTCAAAACACCAGCGCGATCAGACATTGGCACAGGCTCGCTCGAACGAAGACCCATCACGGTCTCGCCCTCCGGCTCTTCTTCTGCTTCACCTTCAGCAACACCGCGGGCGTGCTGCTTTTTGCCCTTGCCACNNCTTTGCCTTTTCCGCCTTTCTCTTTGTTCTTGTCGCCCTGGCCTTTGCCCTTGTCTTTGTCCTTGTTTTTGTCGTTCGCCTTCTTCTCGTCAGCGATTCTTTTACGGCACTCTTCTTGGTAGTGCCCTTGCTTCTCGCAGTACCAACAAACGACCTTGGACTTGTCTCCTGTCCCTTTTCCACCTTTAGGCTTTCCTTTTCCTCCTTTATCGCCCTTCTCGCCTTTGAGGCCTCGAAGACCTCCACCCGGCAGCTCCACCATCCGAAGCTGCTCTTCGTAAAAACGAAGACTTTCCGACATCTCTCTCCAACTGCCGGTCTTACCGTGCAAAACCAAGTACTCTCTCGCTTGCACTGACACAGCTTGCAGAAGGATCGCCGATCTGTCGGCGGCGTTCAGGCACAAGTCGGGAAAACGGATCAGCTTCTTATCTCCCTTGGAGATCTCGTCTTCAAGAAAACGAACTACTTCCAGTGGCCGTTTCAGGGAACCCGTCTTGGTATGCAGCTTAAGCATCTCATCGCGGATATAGACCGCTTCCATGCGGCTATTCACAGAGTACTGTCTGTAAAGCTCTCGCACACCCTCATACCCAGCTGCAGCATTGCCTTGTCTAGTAGAAACACTTCTAAGGATCTCCAATCCTCGGTCCCACTTTGCAAGTGCTTGCTGCAACAAGTAAAACAGACGGGCGCTTCGCCCTGCAGTGTCGCTGGGCAAACTCACCT